CTCGCAACCGCAGAGGAAAATCGACAAGCGTATTACTCTCGACCATGGTTCCTCTGCTTCGGAGGTTTTGGGACAGGCGTCGTAGTGAACCTATCTAGGAACCACAGGCAATGCGGCGATTCTCATTTTTCCAGTCTGTTAAGCAGGTTGCGTCACGGAAAAGCTAGTTTGGGAGACCTGGATATCATCAACAAGACAGGTTCAATGTGAACCGAGCCAGATCGCCGAAGTACACGTCTGTGTTTGAGGAAACAAGAAGTTGTCACCGTAAACGAAAAAATGCTGGCGTCAGTTCCCTACCCTTCCTTCTTCCATACCGCGGAGGATTGCTTGATCGACTCGACTACACCCCTCGCCGTTCTCGAGGAATTAGCCGAGAAAACAGTCCATGTAAAGATCGGGGCAAGTGTCATTTTGACTATCAGGACAGGAAACTTACTCCCTGGTCACCAACTTACCGTCTGTGGCATCATTCCAAACCAGCAAAGAGAAGGTATCCGTGCACTGCGTCTGCGAGATGAGGGTAACACCGTTTACACGATCTACCCGAGGAGGTTCTCCTCACGAAGGAGGGATGCATCTATCGTCGCTTCCAGGACGCAGTTCGCCATTTTACCTGCTTACGCAATGACAGTTCACCGCTCACAGGGCCTGAATCTACAGAGAGTATCGATATTGTTTCAACCGGCAGAAATTGAGCGGTGGAAACCGTCCGGTATGGTATACGTCGCGCTATCACGCTGTCAGTCCCTGGACGGCCTTTGGGTGAGGGGCCTGACTCCCAAACATATTCACGTTAGTTCTTCCGCTACAGAGCTTGTCGAGAAGGCAAAAAAACTGCGCAATCACTACCCTTCTCGTGTAATTGACATGGAGTCAGTAGATTCCCGGAAATTGCCTTCATTGGATTCGTTGCGGCCTCGCCCGAATAAGAGACAGCGAAACAAATGATTACATTGCAACATGAAGACTCATAGGTCCCAGTCAGATTAAACAGATTTCAGAATCAGAGACTCACGTGTCCCAAGTTTGAGTGATCAGTCGAATGACTCATGTGTACCAATAATATTATAGATTCGAATTTTAGGGACTCACGTGTCCCATGTTTGTATAGATAGAATCTTCCAAGCTTCCTATTCTTTTCCTAAAGTCTAATTCCAGTGGTAGTCTTGGATGTGGCATTTGGGACTCGTGCGTCCTAAAATTTATTTCTCGTTTGTCCAATTGCAAAGAACTTGCTCTTGCCTACTTGCAAGCGGTCACGTCTCGATACAACTGTTATGCCAAAGGAAGGCGGAGTACGTTGTCAACTGCGGTGTCTTCTTCGGGACTTTCTCACCATGAAAATGTAGAGTCCTCATCCGTTCCAATTCACGCACCTTATACCACTCCGCCAATGGGTATCTCAGACGGTCATCATTTTCCGATTGGTGCTCCTCCCTTAGCACAGCGCATCTAAAGTCAGTCAAGAGGATGGCACCAGACAGATTAAATGTTCCGGCCCTTGCAGTGCGGGCAGTTCGTATACCCACAGAAGACCTCACAGGCATGCGGTCCACAAGGATAGCAGTTCCAACCACGTCCCCATACTCTCCCTTCACCGTCACACGACTAATGTTGTCTTTTGGCCACACTACGGGCCGTTCCAATATGTTCTTCACGTCTCCCTCATCCACTCCTGGGAAGGCCTGTGATGGGGTTCCTTCCTTGACCTCTGCGAAACGTACATGAAAGGAATCTACAGGGATGGGAGTTCCTAGTACATGCGTCTCGAAGGGATCTACACATCTGGTTCCAACACTGACAGTCCTTATGTTGTCAGAGAATATCTCGCAAAGGCTCCGCGGTTTGCCAACACAATCCCCAATGCACGAAGTACATCCATCTAAAGCATATCCGCCAAGAGCGAGCTTAAGAAAAATTTCTCGGACGTCCATGTGGGGGGGTCTCTTCGCATAAACGACGGTGAGAAAACCAATATTCATCTCTTTCCCATTCACACTAGCCTTCTTTACGTTCAGTGTCGTTTGATGGGTTCCTGTAACGATGAAGGGCTTTCCGTGACCGGATTTTCTAAGCGATAGACTCGAGAAAACTGCCTGTCGTTTCCTCATGCCCATTGGCAGTAAAGTCGCGTACTTCATTCCAGATGTAGTTTGTCGTCTTGATTTGTAGTAGCGAGACGCCGAGCTGAAGAGTTCCGACATGGCCTGTTTGATGACACGAAGTGATACCGACGAAGAACTATCATCTGAGTTACTGTATTGCACTCTTCCGCTACACCCTGATGCGTTCAAAAGAAGAGAAAGGCATTCAGCAGCTACATCATCAGGTACTACTAGATTTCCAGATTCTCTGTTAACCCTTGTTCCAGAGTTTACAGCAGCGGGAATAAAAACTCGACAGACTGGAGCACTTGTAACCATTAGTCCAGCGGGTGTTGTTACATTGCCCCCTTCAGCTCGAATTACTTCATGAAGCCGGTGATTCTCATTTTCTTGTGCTGTAAAGGCTGATGAAGCGACTGTGGTAGCGACTGCAGGCGCAATGGAGACAGGCCCTGTCACAATATTGCTTTGATTGACCGTTTGAAACGCATATTTCCCACTTGTGGGCGGGGCGATTCGATTAGGGCCATGAAGAATCAGGATCTCTGGTTCCTCTTGGTTGACGGACTTCGCGGTTATTAGCAGACGAATACTGCCTGCCGTAGGGTCAGAGTTGACCATCGATTCTACATACTCTGCCGTCTTTTGGAGCATATCCAACGCAGAGTTTAGGCTTTTCCCTTGAACAGACGAGGATGCGGCTCCGTACAGTTTCGCCGTGCACCGTTGAATTGCAGCATCATCGATGACCATCTGGAAGACGTTGTGAAGTCTACGATGGAAGGACGCAGTTATTAGGAGTAATGTGTCTGGAAGGATGAGAGGTATAAGAGGTGAATTGACACCGTTAAAATGCTACCCCTTCCACCCTTCTACCCTTTTTCGAGCCAATCATGTGATCCACAGCGGTAGAAGGGTAGCAAATGTAATGTATTTATTCACCTCTGAAATGCGAAGCCTGCAGGAACGCAGAAACTCTCGGTTACCTTCACTGTCTCCCACGTTCTGTCAGAGGTATAAGAGGTGAATTGACACCGTGAAAATGCTACCCCTTCTACCTTTCTTCTCCTTATTGAGCCAATCATGTGCTCCATAGCGGTAGAAGGGTGGCAGTTACCCTGTTTTTATTCACCTCTGCTTTTCCACACCTGTATGTGGTCCCCATTGAGGCTTTTCCTGACCAAAAAACAACTATACAGCTTCAACTTACAGAACACCTTTGGCTCTTCCTCAAGATTCTATTCTGGTCCTCAGTCGTCAGCATGTAGTTACGGGATGCGCAATAGTGCGGCTTCCATTACTGCAACCCTCGGATTAGTGCCGCCCAAGACTGGCAGGCACAGGTCGTGCGACGGGCCACAGACGACGTCCAGAATGCGGTGGTGCTGGCAAGGTTGTTCGGATCTTTGGAGAGTCTGGGTGTGCTGTGAGATGTGAGCAATGCTTTATGGCACTTGAGGTCCTCAAAACGAGCCTTTTCGGACGCTCGGCATTAGAGGAAGGGTCGGAAACAGCAGCAGACCTCAAACTGGTTTTGGATGAGTCATGGTTCACCAAACTGATTACTGCTGCCGCAAGTTAGTGCCGTCTTTTTAGTCATCGCACTGGGCGGTACTAATGCGTAGGGTCCTCTGTACTATGCTAATGGCTCTCTACGGCTTTCGGCGTGACGTCTGCGGGGAAGTCACGTAGGGGTTGGCGTTCCACCACTTTTCTACATTTCGGTCGTTCCACTACACCTTACACCCCCTTACACCGCGGGGTACCCCTCTTCTACCCTTCTACCCCACTCAACAACGCTCGTTCACCCCTGCTATTTCCCACGTTCTCACAGATAGAAACCGTCATGCAGACGAGATCGCACTTGAGCAGGTTGCTGCTCGCGGGCAATACGGGATCGTTACAGTTAATTGTACCTTCAGAAGGTACAGTATACTGTACTTCGAGCAGGCATGTGGCATTCCCTTTGTTGACCATTCACAGCTGCTTATTTTGATTTTAATTCATACGGTACAAGAGGATTTCTGTCACTTGTACCAGAACAGGAGAACTCCTGGTAGCAACAGGTGTG